GGTGTGGGGGATGTTTTCTTGGCACACTTTAGGCCCCTTAGTGCCAATTGGGCATCGTTTAAATGCCACGGCCTACCTGAGCATTGTTTTTGACCATGTCCATCCCTTTATGACCACTATGTACCCATCCTCTGATGGCTACTTCCAGTATGGTGTTCCTAATAATCCTTTAGGTGAGTGTATATACAGTATTTACACCGAGCAACCAAGTCCAATCCGTAATCCTAAGAATAGTCGATAACCAGACAGTAGTCAAAACACGGGTAAACAAATACACAAGCCGAATCGAAAACCAAAAGCGCGAGAGTCGAGAGCCAAAAACAGGTCGTAACAGTAGGTCAGAAAATACGATAAGCAAAGGCAAAGCAAAGACAGAGCATGAGCAAAAGCTGTCAAATGGGGTGTTCAGGCGTCTTTTATAATTCGTGGCTGGAGAGGCAGGAAACAGGAACGAGGCGATGACAACCAGTCCATCCAGTTTTGGTACGGCTTTCATGGTGAGAGATGGAAAATGTGGAACCGAAATCGACAGTCTGGCGGAACGGGATCTAAAAGAGAAAAAGAATGGATACATATACCCACCCACCCGATTGATAAAGCCACCCCAGTCTACCAATCCAAAAGCACTGTCACCAATGTTCACACAATGTTCAAGTGGACTGTCAAACAGCCCAACAATATCAAGAGCTTTCAAGAAGCTCTTAGAGAAAATCTCATCCACCCCGAGGAGTTTTTTTTTTTTTTATTAGTTCCATGACCTCAGTCCTAGAGATGGGCAAGTCCCCCTCTGAGTTTTTCAGCTCTACTTCCTCTGAGGAAGGCATATCAGTGGGATTCAGAAGATCCTCAAAGTATTCTTTCCACAGCCTGATTACATCCACAGTTGAGGGCAACAGTTCTCCATCCCTGCTGTAAACTGCATGGGTAAAGTCCCCCTGGAGTCTCCTGACAGTTTGCCAGTATTTTTTCGAAGCCAACTGAAAGGCCTTCTCCATGGCCTCACCGAACTCCTCCCACAGCCTGATTTTTGCTTCAGTAACTGCCAAAGCAGCATTGGCAAGTTACAAGAGAAGTTCTGCCGGAGTGAGTAAAAGACCTTCCAGACAGGTGTCTTTGCCAGACTTTCCCATCACACCCATACTATACGTTTAGGTTTACCATCTTCCCCCGCCATCAGATCCAGTTCACCACCAGGTGTTGATCAGTTGACAGCTCAGTTCCTCCCTTCACCCAAGTGTCCAAAACATCTGGACGCAGATCTGCCAATACGATTACAAAATCGATCGAACTGCACCGTGCTCTGATGCCACTTATGAACACCCTTATGTTTGAAAATGCTGTTTTTTATGGATAAACTGTGGTTAACACAGAAATCTAATAATTGATCACTGCTCGGATTCTGATTAGGCAGGCCATTCCTCCCAATCACACTCTTGCAGGTTTCACTGTCATTACATACATGAGTGTTAATAGGGTCCTTATTGTCGATCATTATTGGGGTCTATGCGTACCGCACTTTTGTGTACCGGTATTATATCTGGCTGTTCACCTAAGACCAATTTGCCTTGGGAGACCCTAGCACAATGCAGTCAGCTCCTAGGATCACAGAGGCACGCAAACCCCACCACCACAATAAGGTGGTGATTTATGGAGGGGCTCTTAAGTTTTTTTGCTTATTTGAAAAGGTTAGTTGGGTTTTCACCCATCTGAAAATTGTGGGTTACTATCATATACCTTTTTGTTATTTGTTTCTAGCAGGGTGGTCTTTATGGAATGGATGAGACCCAGGAGAATGAGTATGAAGAGCAGCTGAAAGAAATCTTCCAGAGCTTTGACACATCTGGCTCAGGATTTCTGGACTCTCAACAGCTCTCAGATCTGTACCAAGCCTTGCACCTTGAGGAGGACACAGCAGCCCTCATCCATTCTTTGCTGCACCCTCAGGATGGTATTATTTATAAGGTACTGAACTTTGTACTCTACAACTATACTCAGCAAAAAAAGAAACATCCCTTTTTCAGGACTGTGTATTTCAACAATAATGTTGTAAAAATCCAAATAACTTTACAAATCTTCATTGTAAAGGGTTTAAACAATGTTTTCCATGCATGTTCAATTAACCATAATCAATTAATTAACATGCACATCCGAATATCACACCTACGTGACAGGTACAGGATGGCCACAACAACTGCCCGAGTCACACCAGGAACACACAAGCTTCAGAGTGGGGACAACGTGTGCTGAGGCTTACAGTGTGCAGAAGTTTCCAAATGTCTGCAGAGTCAATAGCTTCAGACCTCCAAACTTTGTGTGGCCTTCAGTTTAGCTCAAAAACAGTGCATAGAGAAATTCATAGGCTCTTACAAATGGGTTTCCTTGGCCAAGCGGCTGCATCAAAGCCTTACATTACCAAATGCATTGCGAAGTGTCGGATGCAGTGGTGTAAAGCACACTGCAACTGAACTCCAGAGCAGTGGAGACATGTTCTCTTTAGTGACGAATCACGCTTCTCAGTCTGGAAATCTGATGGATGTGTTCTGAGTTTGCCGGTTGCTAGGAGATGGGTACATGATTGACTGCATTGTGTCAAGTTTGGTGGTGGGGGGGATTATGCTCTGGGGTTGTTTTTCAGAGGTTCAGCTTGGCCCCTTAGGTCCAGTGAAAGTAACTATTTATACTGCAGCATTTAAAGCCATTTTGGACAATTTCATGCTCCAAACTTTGTGGGAAGAGTTTGGGGATGGCCCCTTCCTGTTTGAACATGACTGTGCACCAGTGCACAAGGCACGGTCCATAAGGACATGGATGAGCAAGTCTGGTGTGAAGGAACTTGACTGGCCTGCTCAGAGCCCTAATCTCAACCCAACAGAACACCTTTGGGATGACTTAGAGTGGAGACTGCAAGCCAGGCCAACATCAGTGCTTGACCTCACAAATGATCTCCTGGAAGATTAGCCAAAAATTCCCATAAACACCCTCCTAAACTTTGTGGACAGCCTTCCCAGAAGAGATGAAGCTGTTATAGCTGCACAGGGTAGGCCAATTCTATATGTATTAAGAATGGGATGTCATTAAAGTTCATGTGTGTGTAAAGGTATGTGTCCCAATACTTTTGGAAATACAGTGTATACAAATGTCTATTAATCTGCCCAAGACATAAAGAAGAAAAATCGTTAACAATGATCATCCGCTTATCGTGATCAATTTCACCCAGACAGACGTGATCACGATAAGCAGGTTCCACTGTATTTGAAAACGATTCTTGCTGGATGCCAGCTGTATGAATTGTAAAATATCATGATAAATATCAATAACTCTGAAAATGTTGTGATATTTTTAGGGCATATCGTCCAGCCCTACTTTCAACAGTGGGGAAAGTAAATATATACACACTCACCTAAAGGATTATTAGGAACACCATACTAATACGGTGTTTGACCCCCTTTCGCCTTCAGAACTGCCTTAATTCTACATGGCATTG